ATTTGAGGTGAGTCAGCTATTGCTCCCTCACTGTATTTAGTATACCTAGAGATTACCTTTTCTAAAGTGTGAAATACACTGGAATTGGTAAGTACAGGGCACCGTGGTTTCCTTTTAAGCTTACTAGAGCTTGCTGGACTGTTTTAGCCTTGCGGTAGAAAAATAGTGTGCGACATACGCAATAGGCAGGAGTGGACATGAATTTTGTGCCTGCTGAAATGTAGAGGCCTACTTGTACAGGTTCCACTCCAGTGGCCTATCTAGTGTGTCCATGCTTGACTGCCATAAGGCTCAAGACAAGTGCGCATAAAAGACACTAGCGGTCTGCGCCTCAACCGTGTACGCCCTAGTCACTCTTTCACCCCCCCCCCGCGGGTTCAACTCCTCTTTGGGACGCCTCTGGGACGGACAGGACACCTCTTATGGCATCCACTTTGGTTCAACTCCTCCATGGAGGTTTTGGGATGCGATGCAACAGATTCACAAGCTAAGGTTGGCTGTGTCATTGCTGTTCGTGTGTCTTACATGTTCACAACGTTTTACCTAATGAGCGACTTTGTGAACCATCCCTCCAACAGCCCCATGCCTATGAAAAAAATGCGCCTCACTCCGCTTGATGTCCCTTGATGTCCCACCAATCTTTTGTCACTGGACGGCGCTGTATGCTTCGCCTCCATTGACACGGATGCATCCCTGCTAGCTTTCGTCACCTACCCCCGGCCTCAAGTGGAGTTTCTTTTTGTTTTATGGCCCGCTTCGCAGTAACGAATAAGAGAAAACCTTTTGACATGGACCGGGAAGTAGTGGTTCTCCGGGTCTACTGGCGCAAAATGATGGAAACAACCTTGTTCCTTCTGGGTAGGCCGAGCCTACTGACCACAAAACACATTATACCGGAAGGAAACAGCGCTCGTCATTAAGTTCTCTCTGTCCGCCTCCGGCTACATGTTCTTTGTCCCCTGGCGCCTTTTTGTTTTCGTCATGGTGCGCCATGCCAGTGCAGTCATGGATTCGCAACCCCCCCACAAGCATAAGCACGGCAACCCATCTTGCCCGACAAAATTCCCTCCAAACCTACTCCGAACCCCCGACTGTTCCAGACGAAGCAGTCCCAGCCCGGCACCCCACCAATTGACCGTGTGCACATTGGAAGGCATGGACAAGCTGGGCGGGAATTGGAAAGATTGGTTTTTTCAGTGCGACAATTCTTTTTGCCACCCCGCCCGCATACATATGGCACGACCACAGCGGCTATCCCAACGAAGCGAGGCAACAGAAGCAGAAGGCGGTGAACAGGGGACCATTTTCCCTGGCCGGAGAGAACGTCTCCAAATTGCAACCAACGAACCCCAACCGAAGAAACGTTGTTCGCACCAGCCTTATCACCAAGCACACAGTCAACGCAATGGCAATGTTTGCAAAACTCCAGGTGGAACCTGGGGCCACTTGGGCCCCACGTGTGGGCTCCCACACCGCCCCCCTGCAAGATCAGGGTCTCATGGGCTCAGGAGCGCCAGTCGGCATCGAGGCAAACAAACTCCAGCAGTTCAAGAACATTCACGCACGACACAACTCCATGTTGCAGCCCTTCCCCCACTTTGAAGATTTGCACGCAGCTCGGTTGCTCTTCCTGTTGTGTGCCAGCCCCCCCGTTTTGCGAGCGTCGGGCCTCTTGGACACTGTAAGTGTTCTCCAAAAACAAGCCCCCCTCCGTCAGATCCCCTCACGCAGTTGCAAACCGACCAGGCTCACTCCCCAGCCTTGACGGCCGCCCGGCAAGCAGCCAATGTAGGGGTTCGAGGAAAATGTACAAACAATGATGGGTAATATGTGCAAGTTTGGGCAACCAACTCATGGAACACGAGAAATAAAAAAGAGCTAAAGCAGAGAGAGAGAGAGAGAGAGAGAAGTCAAGGGACAGCGGCGATGAGTGTTGTCACACGCAAACATTGGACAACCCTTGGAATGCTTAAGGGTACTTTTGGCAAGACGGATCAAAGCCAGGTTCAGGAGGTGTCTTGGGGGCGTCCTGGTGTTGATGCACTGGTAACGGAGCTTCAAGACTGGTCGATGTCGAAACTCCAGCAGCAGCTAAAAAAATGAACACTACGAAGGACCGAGCGAACTCAAGAGCACGCTGTTTGTATGGTTCCGGGCAACGGTGCGCGTCCAGCCAAAGAGGTGCTGGTGCGCAGCTGACTGAGCTGAATGCCACGATTCTGCATGGCTTTAGGTTCCAAGTTAAGTCAATATTGCACAATCAACACCGATCAAAAACCTCCTGTTGACTTGACGCCGTCTTCAGGATTTGGTAGCAAAAGTTGCGGAGTATTCCGCATGGCCCTTTGTTCTTCCTCGAAGAAGTGCGTTAGGATCAAAGAACAAGAAAATACGTGTCTGTTGGCAAACATTCAAAGGAGCTTCGTAAGAAAGCACTTTGGACAGGGCATCGGCTAACTGATAATCTGACCCTATCCAACGGCATTCGATCCCAGCGGCGTGAAGACCTTCTCGGTATGAGAGGATTTCCACTGCCAAATGCCTTTTTCCCAGTTGGAGGCCGCATGACTCAACTTTCATGACACTGTCCCACAGATTTGTCGAATCAGTCACGATGACCGAACGAATCTGTCTCAACGCACTATCCATGTTTTGAACTTGAACCGTTTCCGAATTGAACAGATCGACGATCAGCGGTTTCATGAACTCATGGCGGTGCTTGCCGTCTGGATGACTGCGGACGTGGAGCTTCGACAGGCTCGAGGTAAACGTTTTGATTGCCAAGAGACTGGTGCAAATGAACTGGTCTCGCCATTCAAAAGGCTTCCGCTGGCAATAACAGTCAACATGCTTCCTTGACTGGACAGATCTTTGCGACTGTTCCGGGATGCAATTTCACGAAATAGCTGAGACTGAAAAGAGGTGAGCATACCTGAAATCTAGGAATGCTCAAAGCGGGGTGTCCATGTATAGCAGTGGCACTCATAGCAAGGATGACACGCACAAAACGAGACGTGCATCCTCCCGTATCAGTGGCTCAAAGGAAGTAAAAAGGCCGCACTCCGACTTTTGAGGCCGGTCTTTCAGACATGCAACGTGCACTGTTTTTGTTCGTTTCCGGGTTCTTCAGAAATACAAGGGATGTTGGAAGAGTACAGAGAGGACATGATTTGGGAGTTTCGAGGATAGGGAGATCTGCTTCGAGCCATGCTTGGGGCTCACTACAGTCTGTGTCGCTGATCTAGCTGGGCGACCTTCTGGTTCTGCATGTCCGAGTTTGCTGCGTCTGGACGATCGTGGCCTGGTTCTGGTAGACGGCGCTTTGTTGAGCCACACCGGCTTCTGTCAGCCCTTGGGTCTGGGCCCGGGGCTCGTTGAAACGGGGCATCATCGACTTCAGAAGAAATCGTGTCTTCCTTTTTCGGTCTTGAAGGATTCGCTCTGAGGGGTCGGCGCGTCCCACTCTGTCCCGGATTCTTTGGAGATTTGCGTTTTTTTTCCCCAGAACTCTTCACCAGAGTTTTGGTGGACTGCGCGGTCTTCTCCTGGCATTCCTCCACGCGGCGAGCGTAGATCATCACCTTGAGGAACTTGGTGTTGTTCGGCTGGTGACCGAACAGCCAATGGATGTATCCGGCATGTTCTTGGTAGATCTGGCGGCGTGACTTGCCCTTGAGCTGGCCATCCGTTAGGGTCTCTTCAGCCAACTTGCTAAGGGGCAGAGCTTGGCAGCGAACCTTCTCCGTTTGAGTCTCTGACTCTTTCTGCTTGGTTTTTTGGATCTTCTGGCGCTGGCACAGGCTTTGCGTCACCTTCTTGTTTTGGCTGGACAGGGAGGTCGGCATGTCGCTCAGGTTGCTTAAAGCGAGCGCGAAGGAGAGCGGTTTCTTGAGCCGGGGGCTGAGCTGACAAAGGTGGTGTTTCCTCATGCAAGTCAGAATCGACAGGTTCATCGGCCATCTCTATGCTGATGTCATGAAGATTGGATTTGTTCCCGGCATCTCGGACTTCGTCAAAAATGTTTCGTGTTGGCAACTGCTCTGACATGTCCTGGAGATGATTAGTTACCTTCCTTAATTGCTCAGGTGCACAGCGGTAGAGGATGACTTCATGGGCAATCCAGATGATCGAGCCCTGAGTTTGGTTCAGGTCTTCACTGCCAGTTTCTCAATGCCGATGATGCGGGTTGGTCCGTACCATCAACAAATCCTTTGGCTGGAGGCATTTCATCCTTTTCGATAAAAATATACAAATTTGCCAATTTCAATCATCTCGCTCTTTCGAGCTTGGCCGCGGGCCGCGCGCAAAATGCGACGCTGGGAGTCTGCCTCAATGAAGCATTCTTTCGCTAGTTGGGCCGTTTGAGGTCTTCTTCAAAAGACAGATTCTCCTGGCGGAGACTCTGGTTGGCTAAGTTGTGTCCTTCTTGGACCCAGGTTCGATGGCACTTTTTCCCCATTAGTTTGACCTACAACCTCGAACTTGGTGAAGTCCGTTTTTGGCTGACAAGGCAAGTTGTAGTAGGGCTTCTCGTGAATCGCATTCTGCCCCTTTCTCAAGACAAATGAGGGACATCGTCTTCAGCCGTGGCCCCGGCATCCCTCTAATTGGAAGGAGGTCCCAAATGAATAACACGAAACTGTTCTTTCAGTTTGTCGGGTCCCCAACCTGCTTCATTCTCCTTAGAATCATGAACAAGTTCCGATTCTTCCCCGTTTACAGCTTCAGCATCCCCCAAGAGCCTCCACAAGGCAGAACTTCCTGTCACCTTTCTTTTGAAAGAGACACTGCGATTGATACCTGGCTGACATCTAAAATCGTGGCAAAGGTTTCACAAAGAGCTCTGGGATAAATGGCAGTTGATGAGGTAATGTTTCCTTCCATGGGGTCATGTTCATGGGGTTCATGGGCGCAGTGTTTTTCCAGTCCGTTTCGTATGTCTTCACGGCTGCTGAACCAGCCCCAGGCCTTCTGCACAAAATGTCCCGTTTTCGCACTTGTCATTTCAAATTGGCATCCATCACAGCGAAGACGGGGTGAACAGAGGGCGACACGTTTTTGCAATGACTTTTCTTCTTTGATGCAGCTCGCAGTATTTGCTCCCGAGCGTCGACCTCACGCCCCGCGATCCCCCGTCTCCGAGGCCGTCCTGGACTACCAGCCTCAAGTCCCTCTCCCTATCTCTGCGCACGACCTCGCCGACGCCCTCCGCACCAGCAAGCGCGGCTCGGCCGCAGGCCTCTCTGGCGCCACCGCCGGGCACTACAAAGTCCTTCTTGACGATGAGGCACCGCCTTAGCCAACGGCGCGGCCCCGCCCGAAGTCCTGTCTGCCCTCGCTTTGGCTCGCCTCACCGCGCTCGCGAAGCCCAACGGCGGGGTCCACGGCATCGCCACAGGGGATGTGCTGCGCCGCCTTGTCTCGCGCACTCTCGCACGCCTCCATGCCGCGGTTTTCGACGCCGCTACCCGGCCCTTCCAATTCGCGCTCCAAACCCGAGCCGGCACCGACTGCCCCGCCTCCACCTTGCGAGTTGCCTCTGAGCTCGACCCCTCGGCCGTCATCATTTCTCTCGATCTCCCGCTCCGCCTTCCTGGACAAACTCCTGCAGGTCGCCCCTCGTTTCATCCCCTTTGTGCGCACCTTCTATGCACGCACCAGCACTTTGGTGGGATGACTCTGGCGCGTGCCACCACATCCGCCAAGCCGAAGGCTGTGAACAAGGAGACGCGCTTGCGCCGGCCCTCTTTTCCCTCGGGCAACGCGCCGCACTGGAAGCCTCCGCTGCCCACTTGGCCCCAGGCGATGTCCTCGCGGCCTACCTGGATGACTTGTACATCGTCACCCAGCCGGCTCGCGCCCGTGCAGCCTTTGACCTGGTGACCACCAATGTTGAACGCCTGGCCGGGGTTGCCTCCAACCTCGGAAAGACGCGGGTATACAGCGGTGCTGGCGGGTGCGCGCCGCCAGGGATCGCGGAACTCGGACCCGACGTCTGGCGCGGCGACCTGCCGCCGGGCCAGCGGGGATTCATCGCCCTGCGCTCGCCCATCAGCTCGCCCGAGTTCGTGGCAGCGTCGGCTCGGGCCACTCTCCAGTCTCACGCCCGCCTCCTACAGGAGATTGCCGCGTTGCCGGACCTTCAGAGTGCATGGCTCCTGCTTTCCTTCTGCGCCGCTCCCCGCGCGCAGCATCTCCTGCGCACCCTGCCCCCCGCCGCGTCCGCGACCTTCGCCGTTGCCCACGATGCCGCCATCTGGGACACCCTGCAAGGTCTCCTCTGCGAAGCGGGCGCCGCCTCCCCAGCCTGGCAGGTCGCCCGCCACGTCGCATTTCTGCCGACGCAAGCTCGGCGGGCTCGGCCTCGTCGCCGCCGAGCGCACGGCCCCTGCCGCCTATTGGGCCGCTTGGGCTGACGCCCTCCCTGTTCTGCGCCAACGTTACCCCGACGCTGCTGCCCGCTGCGTCCGCGAACTCGCGGTCGGCGACGAGGCCGCTGCCCCTTGCTTGCGGGCTGCCGCGGCCGCAGCCACGCATCTCCACAGCCATGGGTGGACCGCTTGCCCCACGTGGCATGCCCTCTTCCACGCTCTCCAACCTGATGCGGCCTCCGCCGACCTCTCTGGTCCGGGGCTAGGGCCTGGCGGGTGGCAGCGGCAAGCTTCTCTCGTACTTCACCAGTCCTTCAGAGAGAGTGAGCTGTTCCCAGCCCTCAGCCCGGCGTCCCGCGCCATGCTCCGGTCACAAGCCGGCCCCCAGGCCGCAGCCTGGCTCACCGCCATCCCCTCAGAGCCTGGGACCACGCTCCCGCCCCACTTCATGCACCGCGCGCTCCGTCGCCGGCTTCGCTTGCCTTTGCCACTGGCGCGTGCCCGCTGTGGCGGCGACGGCGCTCCCGGATGCGGGCAGCCACTCGACCTCTTGGGCGACCACTGTGCGGCTTGCCCCCGCAGCGGCGCTCTCGCCTGCCGCGCGCATGTCCTGGAGCACGCGTGGGTGCGCATTGCCCGCGAGGCAGTTGGCGCTGAGGGCCGCGTCATCCCGCAGCAATGGCTTGCGCGCACCAACGCGCCCCACATTCCCCCGACGACCGCCGACCTGATCGTGCATGGCGCCTCGCCACATGGGGAAACGTGGTGCTGCGATGCCACCCTCGTCTCCGCCCTGACGCGCGACCGTGCCCCCCTCCCAGGGGCCGCTGACGCGGATGGAGTCGCGCTCCGCCGGGCTGAGCGGCGCAAACGCCGTCGGTACCCTGAGCTTGCAGCTGGAGGCCCGCAGCAGCTCCTCGTTCTTGCCTGCGAGGTCGGTGGCCGCTGGAACGCGGAGTCTTTGACCTTCGTGCGCCGCCTCGTCCGACTTCGCGCCCGGCGCGCCCCCTCCGCTCTCCGCACGGCTGCTGCTGCCGGGTGGAGCCGCCGCTGGTGGGGCCTTCTTGGCGTCGCCCTCCAGCGCGCCCTGTGCTCGACGCTGTAGGGGGACGACTGGCGCGCGCCACCCTGCCCCACTGGCCCCGCCGAACTCCCCCTCGGGGAGATCCTGGCGCTCGCCGGGGGGCCCGCGCCGAGTCGCCTCCCCCTGCGGCCGTGAGCCGGCAATGCCCGGCTGTACATAGAGTGCCCGCGCCAAGACAGGTCGCCTCCGAGGGAAGAAGGAAAAAACTAGACGACGAGTGGCCCGAAAGCATTTTTCATCACGTAGGAAGTCAGAGTGTGAGTTATCTGTTAAGTGTGCGGTGTGAAGTGTTAAGTCGAGTGAGTTGAGGTAGTGTGTGGGTTTCTGTGTGTGTGTCTATGTCCGTGTGTATATGAGTCTGCGTGTGTGTGTGTGTGTTCGTGTAAGTTGAGGCAGTGCGTGGGAGTTTGTGTGTGATGCGGCCTCCCAAACCCCCCACCGGCGGCCAAGCGGTGACAGCCCAGCTCATGGTCATGAGCAAGGGGAGAAGCAGCGTGCACGGGTGTAGGGAATCTCACTGAAAAAACCGAGCTGGAATGAACACAGAAAATGCTGAGGCAGCCACGCCAGAAGTGTCTCAAAGCAGTGACCTGTCAGAGGAGATGAACGAAGTAGCGCGCAGG